AGAACCAATTCATTTCTAGTTTCTTTCTAGTCCTAAAACCTGACGGTTCAAACTGGTTTATAATTAACCTGAAAGAGTTAAATAACTTCCTTGAGCCGGAACATTTTAAGATTGAGGACATTCGGACAGTTTGCAAATTGATTTGGTCCAATACGTACCTAGGTTCAATTGATCTGAACGATGCTTATTTTTTAGTCCCTTTGCATAAGGATTACAAAAAATTTGTAAGACTTGTAGCCAATAATACAGTTTCTGCCGACTGCTACTCACTGATATCAGTTTCTGTTTGCTGATGAATCTGCAGGCAGCATTAAATATATATAGACATGACTGTAAAATATCTATTCTAATAGAAGTCGTGGATCACGGATCAATAAAAGTTCGACAGAACACTTCGAATAACGAACGTACTTCCTGACAACGTGGTCGATATTATCTACACGAGGCCGTTGATCCAGGCGACGTCAACAACTACGGACAGGAAAGGTAAATCGACGCATTATCTAACAAAAACAATGGTCGGGACTGATCCGATGATCTACCGCGTTACAGAGGCGCACTAGTTTGAACATTCCATATCTAACACGCCCTCCTCAAGTAGTGCGACACGATCGCCCTTCGTTACTAACTCCCTGACGCTTCGATGATGTGCCGGTCCCGGTAAAACATCCGTCAAAACATCCGCCGCGATATTTTCGGTTGGTATGTACATCAATGCAATTTCGTGTCTATGTGCTTCGTGCAAGAATGGCACACAGCATTTTCAGCGATGCGCTTCGCACCTTGATTATCCGTCCCAATTACTATATGGGATAATTGTGGTAGTCTTATCTCCAACATCAAAGTTCGTAAATATACAACTTCTCTAGACGTCTCTGATAACGATACGTATTCCGCTTCTGTCATGGAGATGACCACAGATCGTTGATTTTGCGAATGCCATGATATTGCCGCTCCACTCAAGATAAATGTGTACCCAGTGTATGAAATTCAATCTATGACATTGTTGGCATGATTGGCATCGGAAAAAACCTCGTATTCCTAACGAATCTCTTCTGTACATCGAACCATGTTCCGCTGTACCGCACAGAAACGCAGTACACGCTTCGCGGCTGCCCAGTGCGACTCTTGATACGTATCATAAGATAACCGGTCAATTCACGGTACGGCTTGTCTTTTTGACTGTCCACAGTGCAAGGTACACCTATCGGTAATCTGGTCCCCGATTCGCTGGGTGTGTTAACCGGTTTTGACTCATCCATCCCGAATCCCTTTAACAGGTTTCCGATATATCTTTTCTGACATCCCTCAGGGGCTGCAGTCGGTTTCAGCCGACTGTGGTATGGGTGTTAGCGACCCCGATATATCACGGTGTAAGTAGTCGGCAGGAAGAACGGGGGTCTTGCCATAACCGGCTGGACGGCGAGGATGACAACCTCTATAAAAAATCCCTAACCCCAAGACCTGGTCCGTGGTGAGGAGGGTGCGTGCCGGACTTGCTCCGGTGCGTGGCTGGTGAGCGCACTAGTCGTGAGCGGCCAACCTCAGGACACCTGGTGACCTCCTGAGCGAATGGGCCTTCTTCCCGGAAAGAGCGTTACCTGGGGAGTGACGGTATTTCGTCGCATCTCGTGGGAACTACATAGTCGTGCCATAAATTCTGTCTCTACTTTACAGGGTCGATTATAATATTTTGACGCGTCTCTTATTCATTCATTTCTTTAAAGTGGCATCAGTATGCTCGGAACTGCATTGTAAATACATCAGTTTGGTTCAATTCATCACGTTGTAAACAGAGTGGGGTTTCAAAGAGAACTGTATCGCTGTGATCGCGTTATATAATTGCAACAAAACTCCAGTTGAGATTGTCAATTTCTTAAAACACTTAAGAATAACAAAAAAATTCATCTATCGTGCAATCAAACGATATATCGAGATGTCTTCTGTCGATGACAAACCGAAAGAAGCAGTCGACCAGGTGAGGTGAGGACAAACGCAGCCATTAAAGCTGTAGCTGACGGAATTGGACGAAATCCGCTCCGCAAGCAGAAAATCATAACTAGGGAAATGAACATTCCACAACGAACTATGTCGCGGATTATTAAACAAGATCTTAGCAGTTAACAGCGACTTTACGTCAAATAAGAGCCACAAGAGCAAAGAGATTGCTTCAGCGACACGGCAACGGTGGTCACCGGAAAATTCTTTTCATAAACAAAAAGACTTTCACGATAGAAGAGAAATTGAACCGCTAGAATGATAGAGTTTATGCTCATAACTCGGCGTCACTCAGCTGCATTTTTGCAAGCAGGGGGTTAAAACACATGCAGCCAACTTCCAAAGTGACATTTTGGAAAAGACAGTGAAGCCTTTAGGAGATACCTTGTTCGCGAGAAAGCACTGGGTATTCTAACAAGACCCATCGCCGGTACACAATGTCAAGTCTACACAACGCTGGTTAAATGCCAATTTGTCTGAATCTATCGCCGTGGAAGATTGGCCCTCAGGAAGCACAGATCTCAATCCTTTGGACTACTGTTTGTGGAATGTTTTAAAGGAGAAGGCCTGCTCCAAGCCTCATCGAAATATCGAGATGTCAAAGGCGAATTTGGTGAAGAAAGCAGCCTCGATACCGCAAAAAGTGGTGCGTGAGGCGATAGACGAATTGCCGCATTGATTAAAGAAGTGCGTAAAGGCAAAGGGTGGACATTTTGAGTAGTTCGTGTATTTTTTATGTTGTTTAGTTAATAAACAACAAATATCATAGATATTTTCACATTTGGCATGACTATATATATGGAAGATAAATTTGAAAAAGGGAAAGCGGAGGATATCAGTATTGATGAAACTGTGCACGGGGTTACATCAACTCCCGTGTCGAGACGTGTAAGTGTGTGTTCTGGAAGAAGTGACAAAAGTCCGGGTATAAAAAGGCGACGAAGAGTGAGTGTAGATAATGGTGGCAAGGAGAGTGACTGTGCGGATGTAGAAGTGGATGATGTGAGGATGAAGAAAATTGGGAACGAGCTGAGGAAATACATCTTCACGGAGGAAAATCATATATCGCAAAGTGCGAGTGAAATAATTTTATATAGTGTAAGCAAGTACGAAGAAGTGTTGACGAGAATGATGTATATGTATGAACAGTTACAGGGACGATTGAATGAATGTGAGAAACGAATGAAACAGCCAGAGGTGCCTGTGAGCATGGGTATTCTATGGTTAAGCTAGTGTTGCGAGTAGTAGTGCGATTGAGAAACGTATGCCGGTGTTAGAGAGCATGCTGTGACCGAAAGGGAAATCGTATGGAGTGATAGTGAGGATTAAAGATGCATCTCCAAAATGACGAGCGAGCAGGTGAAAGAAAAATGCGTGAGATGAGTAAAGAGTTGAATATACGTGTGAAAGCGGTGAGAAAGACTAAGACCGGTGGGATTGCTATCGAGATTGCGAGTGAAAATGAGTTAAAAATGGTGAGAGAATGCAAAAAGTTTGATGAGATTGGTATCAAAGTAAAATTGCCGAGGAATATAATATGCCCAAGGCAGTGAATGCAGGTATGTACTTGGTGCGTTTGTCGACTTCAAAGGAGCGTTTAATAATCTTGAATGTGAGAGAGTGCTTGAGAAACTGAATGAGGTTGGATGTGAAGAGCTTGGACTTTGGGAATGTTATTTTAGTGCAAGGATGGCATGCATGGTTGGTGCGACTGATGTAGTGTGGAAAGATGTGATGCGTGGCTATCGGTAGGGCTCCATCTTAGGTCCATTTATATGAAACCTGCTGACGAATGACTTCCTGTGGCGGCTCTCCGAGAATGGATACAAGTGTGTAGCGTATGTGGATGATTTGTTGTTGTAAGTGGAAGGACAGAACCGAGCGGATCTAGAACGTAAGGGCACAAAATGGATGGAGATTGTGAGTGAATGGGGTAAAAATGTTGGAGTGACTGTGTCTGAGGAGAAAGCGGTAATGGTGCTTCTGAAAGGTAGAGCGACTGATACAAAGCAGCCGAATGTGTGAATGAATAGAAAGAGTGTTAAGTATGTTACGCGTGTGAAGTATTTAGGTATATATGTGAGTGAGCCTGTGAATTTCAAAGTACATGTGGAGAGTATGAAGCAAAAGATAATGAATGTGGTGGGACAAATGAGACGTGTGTTAAAATGTGAATGAGGTATGAGGAAGAGAGCAGTACCAGTGATATACAAAGGTTTGTTCTCAGCATGTGTTGTGTATGGTGCGCGTGTGTGGTATGAAATCATACAGTATGCGTATGCTAGGGATATGACGTGTAGCGGCCTACGGCACGTACAAAGAAAGAACATTTGGCGTGCAAATGGTTGGCGAGTTTTATGATACACGCGCCTGCAGACCTATTATTGAGAAAGCCGTTTTCTTTCCGCTTTCATTTGCAGTTTTTATACGATGCACATTTTTGCCTTTAGAAACTTTCGTTAAGGGCCTCAATAGCTAAGCGGGTGTCGTAAACCCCGAGTTTCCGAAGGGTTGCGAAGCGGGGTCAGATGACCGGCGATCGGTCACGTCACGCGCCTTGGGGACCTGGAGGAAATTCCGCTGCGTTGCCAAACCTCCGCCATGGGTCTCACTCCCGCCAAGTCACACCCCTGTTCCTGAAGCGGCGCGCTAAGGGCGCAAGGAATAGGTGGCGTGATTGGGAATGTTAGGAAGCGCCTGATTGGTTAATGCCTGCGCGCTACGTTAACCAATTAGGATAACTTCAGGGTTTTGCGAGCTTCCCGAAAAGAAGAAGCGTCGGGAGACTTCACTTGTTTTTCCGACAACGTCAAGAGCAGTTTGTGAATGAATTTTGACCGTACAAACTACAAATAAATAAGTATCCGAATTACTGTGTAGATTATTTAGACACAGCATAATACACTTCAATTGGTGACCGCCGACGTCTACACAAATTCGGGAGTTTTTATTTAAAGTTTGTTTTTGAGTAGCAAGTGCATTACTGTGAACGTGTTCCGAGGATGACTTCCAAACAAAATACAGCTTCCGCCACGGTTAGTGGTGCTTCCGAAATGCCAGAAGTGAACCGTGTCGGTATTCGCGTTCCGCCGTTCTGGCCCGAGCAACCTGGCGTCTGGTTTAATCAGCTGGAAGCGCAATTTGTTTTAAATAATATTACGGCAGTCATGACGAAGTTTTATTACATCATGGCACAGTTGGAACCGAAATACGCATTAGAAGTTCAGGGCATTTTTAACAACCCACCAGAGACCGATAAGTACGCGACGTTGAAGAGAGAGTTGATACACCGCCTGTCTGTGTCCCAAAGCCAGCGGATTCGACAACTATTGGAGCAGGAGGAGATGGGTGACAGGACGCCGTTCCATTTCCTGCGGCATATGAGGAGTTTGGCACGTACCTCGGTTACGGACAATTTTTTCCGGACTCTATGGTCTAGTCGATTGCCCGCCATGATCCGCGCTATCGTTACCGCACAAGCGGACTTAACGTTAGATAAACTGGCAGAAATAGCGGATCAGATATACGAAAGTACTGTAGGGCTCACAAACTGGTAATGGTCTAGGCTACAACGATCTGACCAGTGATCTAAACTGGTACCGCGGGGAACGGACGTCTACCGGGGCAGTTATGCCTCGACCCGGTTATGGGTTGCATCATCGCGGGGGCAGTGGTTGTGAAGCTGAATGCTGGCCGGGTCATTTAGGGATCCCGACAGGTGAGCTGCGTCCCAACAGTTCGGGTACCGGCCTGCAAAGCCGGTAGAGTGAGAAAAGTCACTCGGCCCAACCGGTGGTCTGTCGTAAAGACCTACAGACTGTTGACAGACCGGAAGTTCTCGGGCGAAGCGAGGACGCGCTGATTGGGCATATCCCAATTCCGTGCCCATGGGGGTCGTGTGGATAACTCGCAAGGCAGGTGCCGCACGTTAAATCATCGACATATGTATATCTTTCCTGGCTGAATTCGATTTCGCCGTTCGCTTGTTTCATTTCGATACCTAAACAGCAGCTAGCAAGACGAAGGTCCTTGACCTTGAAGGCATTCGACGAAGGAGCTCTGTTACTGGCCAGTCTCTTCTGATTTCTTGACATATACTTCTGTCGTCCACGTACATCACCAGAATTGAGAACTCTTTTTCGTTCGAATCAAAGTATAAACACGGATCATTGATCGCCGGTATCAATCCGAGTCCTCGAAGAGCTTGAGATTGTGGCGGCACTACCTTCCTTCCTACATTCGCCATCAGAGGCCTACCGAGTTGATACCTTTCCCGCAACTACCTGAAGCCTTCCTCGTTCGTATATATACGTCCTTAACCGACCATCGTATATCCCCGCGTCTAAGGCAGGGTCTGCTAGGTAGCCTTACTGACGAGTCCACTAGGAGGCCCAGGACGAAACGCTCCCTCTCCCTCTCCTTTCCTTTTCACATTTTCCAGTCAACAGTTTGCCGCCAAAAGGCAATCTCTGGTTCCATTGACGACGACCCTATAGCGCCATAAATAATCGACACACTTTGTCTCCTTTATTTAATTCTCGAAGCATTTTATACGCTTCTTTTCGTATTTCACCCTCTTCGCCATCCTGCTGTATTATTTGGTGTTGCGCTTTTTGAATGAACTCTGGAGGCTCCATGTATATTTTTTCGTCTAATTTTCCGTCCAGAAAGGCAGCGACTATATTCCAGTTGATGAACGGCTAGACCCTCGAATGCTGCCAATGCCATCATGAGTCTGACTGAATCAAGCCGTGCTACCAGTGAAAAGGTGTCTGTACAATCGATTCCCCAACGCTGAGTTAACCCTTGAGCGACGATTCGAGCTTTTCTACGCTCTAACGTTCCATCGGGTCTCATTTTGTTTTTCAGAACGATTTTACAACCTACAACAGCCCCACTCAACGGTCGGTCGACCAGCTTCCAAGTATTATTCGCGATTAGCACTTTCCACTTTGATACATTTTTATGACAAGCCGTCATCCACTTTGATACATTTTTTCCGGCCATAGCGTTTTTCAGTGAATCAAGAAGGGATTCGATGTCGTTTTCTCTGAGATTCTCCGCTCTCATCACAAAAAACATCATCCTCTAATTGCTCGTCCTTTCCTGGTAGTGTGACGCTATATTTATCGTCTCCATCTTCGGCATCTTCAACTGATTTGGTTTGGTAAGTCTTCCTAGGTCTTCCACGACTTCCCGTACAAACTAAACGCGGTCTCCCCGCTCCACGTGCAATGACAGGTGCTGTTGCGTGTCCTGCCGGACTTTGTACGGTAATCGTCGGCATCTGTACACTTTTTCGTTCCGGAGTTCTGGTTGTTGTGCTGCTCGGTAACGACCTGGTCCAGAATATTTCCACATACTGATTGTAAGTCATTCAAATTTTATAAACTCCCGTAGCGTAATTTTTATTGCTAAATATTTTTATGACAAACATGACACATGAGAACTACGAGGGTAATCCCAAAAGTAGGTCTCCAAACCGCTAAGGACGCCGCGAAACTAATCTTGCAACTGTTGGAAACATTGTTGTGTTTGTTACTTCCGCCACTCCGCAACAAGCCTATGCGCACCTCGCTGGGACACTCTGTCTTCACTTGGCAGCCGTTTGTAATGGAGCTCCCTCCCGTTTAGCGCTACCGCCAAGTGCGAAGTTCGCGCAATTATTCGGTTTTTGAACGCAAAAGGAGTGTAACCTATTGAAATTCATCGCCAATTGAAAGAAGTGTATGGCGAGTCGTGCATGAATGTCAAAAACGTCAGCAAGTGGTGTAGGGAGTTTGCAGCTGGTCGAACTGAAGTTCACGACGTAGAAAGAAGCGGCCGACCGTCACTTTCCGACGAGACAGCCGCGAAGGTTGAGCAAACCATGCGTGAAGATCGGCGGATCACTCTGGATGATCTCTGCATTTTGGTTCCCGAGGTTTCCCGAAGCACCATTCACAGGATTTTGACGGAAAAGTTGCAATATCGGAAGGCGTGCGCAAAATGGGTCCCGCGAATGCTCACGGAAGACCACCAACGGCAACGAGTTGAATCTTCCCGCGAATTTTTTCGCCGCTATGCAGACGAAAAGGATAACTTTTTGGATTCGATTGTCACGGGCGACGAAACCTGGGCGTTCCACTACGTACCTGAGACCAAACAACAATCACGTCAGTGGCGGCGTTCCTCTTCTCCCAAGCCGCGAAAATTCAAACAATCACCGTCTGCCGGTAAAGTCATGGCAACTGTGTTTTGGAATCGAAAGGGGGTATTGTTGGTGGACTTCATGCCTTCTGGGACCACAATAAACGCTGACAGGTATTGTGAGACTCTGAAAAAACTCAGACGGGCGATTCAGAACCGGAGAAGAGGAATGTTGAGCAAGGGCGTAAGCATTTTTCACGACAATGCTCGTCCCCACGTCGCCTGTACGACCGTCGCTCTCCTGCAACAGTTTGGATGGGACATCGTCACCCACCCACCCTATAGTCCGGACTTGGCACCCAGTGACTACCACCTGTTTCCTAAGCTGAAAGAACATTTGGCCGGAACGCGCTTCAACAACGACGACGAGGTGAAAGATGAGGTTCAACGCTTCCTCAACGGCATGGCGGCGAGCTGGTATGACATGGGCATACAAAAACTGCTGCAGCGCCTACAAAAATGCATCGACAGAAATGGCGATTATGTCGAAAAATAGATAAATGTTCAAGCTTTAAAATGATGTAAACATTATTGAAAATAAACATTTCTTTGTATTTCTAAAAAAATAGGAGACCTTACTTTTGGGATTGCCCTCGTATAAATATAAACAATACCCTATTTTTTTAATAATATACCACACTATGACCTAGAAATGACCTTGGGCTGAAAATTTCGCACGTAACTAGTTGAGATGGAAGCTCACAGAAAATGAATTGCAGAAACAAAATAAACGCCATAATTGCATTATTTATTATTTTAGTGTATGTTCAAAGTATTATCACCCCATCGTGTGATATATTGATGGATACGTTTTGATCTCCTCTTTGTAATGGCACAAAAAAAATAAGGCATTCCATTTAAAAAAAAAAAACGTTACCATTAGAGAAATCTCAGAAGATATGACCTTGAGATGACCTTTAATCTCATAGCCTAATTTCCTCCCTACAATACACTAACTTTCTCCAGAAACCATTTTTTTGTACCATGACAAATAAGAAAATAATTAAGGGTGGCAGTGTTAGGTAGGACACCCTATATAACAGGAAAGATTAAAATATAAAAAGGTAAGTTCGATAAAAGACAATGTCTGAACTTTTTTCCAGAGTAGTCACAGATTTCTCGAATTAATTATTTATAGTTTAATTTCTCATAATCTAGTACAGATGTTTTTACCCGCGATCATTTCATTGATTACCAATCGAGTAGCCTAAACCAGTAATCGACCATTCAATCCCGGTGATAGCTAGGTTACCGGGCGCATATGTCGATTGAGTAATTGTGAATATATTTGGTGAAAGCATTGGAAACTAGGTTGGCCGTCGCATAGGTAATAAACGGGGTTCTACCTGCGTAAACTGTCCAACTATCTAATCGTATGAAATTGTTATTATTGTCTAGGGACGGGGCTATAATTCAGTTGACATACCAGCCATGCTTGAAAGTCAACGATGTTACCGATTAAGGAAAACGCAGATGTGTATGCTGTGTTCGAGTAATCGTGATGTTACTTTATTGTCTTTCCAACCATAATACTTAGACTGCTAATGTTTCTGCAAATATAGAATTGTATGGATTAAGTTTTCAAAATTGAACGCAGGGAAAAATTTGTTTACCTCGTTTAGGGTTTTAGTAGGTTTTAAATGAAAAGAAAACCTGAACAAACGTTCTAAAACTTTGTATGTACTATATTGCATCTCAGAGGATGGGATATACAATAATGGGATATTAAAAATGAAGTCTATTAATACTACACCTATTCATACACATAATTTGTCAATCCAATAATACACACAAATGATCAGTTTTTAACAAACCTATTGCTTATATTAGTTTTTTATTTCAGTTATACTTTAAGCATGTTATCTATGCGAAAATAGACAGACATTTTAAAAAACTTTATTCACGTACAAGATATTTTTTCATTTACACGATAAAAGTGATTCCAACATTTATTTATTAACTATGTTCAAATAATTGAAAGCCATTTCAAACATGTATTAAAATGAATACCTGCATTCAAAAACGCAAATTTCATATTTTGTTCTTGTCTTAAACGAACGTAATTATCATATTATACACGCATAAGTTTATCCACTTCTCAGATGTAATACGCACTTGCGTTCCCACGCAAAGAATCTTTTATAATTTTAATGTTTTGACAAAATTACCGAAACCAAAAAAAATTAGTACTCAGAATATTGGTCTTTCAGAATAGAAAAGACAATTTTGACAAGATTTTCTGTGTCATCAGAAGTAACAGAGATATGTCTCATGATCAAGATAAATGAATGACATTTTCCATAGTGGACTTCGCGAAATATCAGTTTGTGGTGAGATATATTTTTGATTGTGCAAAAAACATATGTGAATGAATGAAAAGTTCATGAATACGAAGGATAATTTTGAAATAGGTTATCCAATTTTAACAGTCATTCTATTAAATATTATATTAATACGGAATTAATATTTCCATTTTAATTAAAATTAATATTCAATATTACACAAAAATAGTTTATTCATTTTGAAGTAAAAAATTAATAATTGATAATATAATGACTACAGTGTACTATGAAACATCAATCTGAATGTTTGTGATAATATCCGTTCAAGTTTATCTCCATTTATTTGGGACATATATCGACATTTAGCGAACTCTTTTAGCGAAAACCAAGCAGGAAGCTTTTGACTCGAAGGAAATTTCTGATACGGTACACACTGGGCTTTATCAGCTTTCGGTATGCAAACATCACATAACCATCCATCTTCTCGATACACTTGTATCCATTCTTAAATTTTCATCCTTTCAGTAAGCGTCCTTCGTTTCCATTTACTCTATGAGGTACATGTACAGAGCATGGCATTTGTTCGTTTGAATTATTATTAAAACGTTTCAGGTTCCACAATGTGACTTTCACAAATGTGAAAATCACCCTATTGGTAATAACTATGAAGATCACTTAAAAATATTTTATTCTCATCTCAAGAAAATTTGTAATGAAGGACGTAAAATTACAATTAATTTCAACTTTTACAAATTAATGTCTGAAGATGTAAATTTGTACAAAAATCTACAGTCTACTCATAAATAAGTACCAACTGTGCAGAAATTATCTTCCAAGAACCGTGCAAAATGTGTTACATGTATACCTACTCATGACAGTATCGATTTTTGGAAATACACAACTACACTGTACTACAAATGTGAACTTTTTTCAATTTTATAACCTTCAAGAAGCGTTTCTTATAGATCATTATAGGCAGAACACGTATCTGCAAACCGTTTTTCTTTTTTTCAGAACATACAGTTTTTGAAAAAATCACTTTTAAAGAACTTGCAAATTTTCAATTTAGGAGATTTTTTGTGCGTTCACAGTAATAGTTATTCAGTTTATTTTGGGTAAGAAACGATTATGTGGACATTCCTAAACAGAATGATGTAAATTATTATTACCTTATAAACATTTAAACATGTTTAAATAACGATCAAATTGAAAATAGCACCCAAAACGCACCAGGTTCTGTTAATAGCTTCTAATTTATCCTTCTAAGATAATGTATCGAAATTTGTTATTAAAAACCTTATTTATTTCGACGACAAGATAGAACGGTGTACGGTATATTAGTAGGTATCGATTAATTACCAGCGGAACTGAACAGCAAAAGTATACATATCGGACGTCAGTGCATTGAACAGGAAAAAAAGTAATGTAACGCGAACGATGGCTCAAAATTGACAGAAATGAGCAAAACGGCGTACGTGGAAATTAATGGTAATTAGAACTTCGTACTTTGGCGTGTAGGAAAGCGCGCATACCAAAATCTGCTTTCCAGAGCTTTCGTTCTCTACCGTCAGCTTCGTACCAATGCTGCCTATTTACTCGTCGAATAAATATTGAATTTTATTCACTGATGCATTGAAAATTGACAATGAAATAGGATTTATTATTACGATAGATGAATTGGGAGTCAACCTTTTCATCTCTAAAAAATAATTGAGATTTTTACGGCAGAAGTACCTATATGCGATTTCTGAAGCTCTTGTGTATATTAAGGAAAGTGATCATGCATTTCATGTTATTTACAATGATTCACTCGGTGTAGTGTATGTTAGTGAAAACTACAATGAAAGCAATAAGTCTGAAATAATTTACAAACATTGGATAAATGAATTGAGACACATGTGTCCTTTTTTATGTTTGCTATTCTGGTGATGCTACAAAAGTTCTCTTCTGCAGAGTGTCGGACCATTAGTCCGATACTAAACTTTCGTAAAAGTTACACGGACATACCTACACAATATAAATCATAAAATACGTTTCATCTATATTAATCTGAAACAGGAGTTTCATGAGAACATCGTATTATACCTCTATTTTATCCATTCTACGATAGTACGGAGCAAAAGTTTACTAAAAAGTTTAAAACCAGAAATCATACCAGGGATCACTTGGAAGATATAACGAAATGACGTGGACCTGAGAAAACAACAATTAAATATATATCTATTATATATGTATACCTATATTATACTGATATCCCTAATTCAAATACTACTCCAAAACATGTAGGTCCGAAAAAATTTCTCCGGTGCTATAAGAAATATAGGACACTTCTAATGAAATCAACAAATATATGAGAAGATCTAATGTCATTTACATACATACATAGCAAGAAATGAAAAAGCAGATTCATCATCAAAAGAAGTAACAACATTTCTACAACACATAAAAAATAAACTTAGGGAAGAATGAAACGGTATTTCATAAGAACAGTAAAAATTGTATGACGTTGAGCCATGAAAACGTCAAGTCTATGTATAATGCTGGACTAGAACGCTGTCAAAGTAGGCATAAATAGGAGTGGATTATAAAGTATAATTTCTTATTTCCATTTATGAAACATATGTTCGTTTATACAGTGAAATTTCCTTAAGATTAGGTATAATTTACGCATTCTGCAAGAAAATCCTTAAATTGGCATACCTTCAATTCCACTTGTCACGAGGCCCTATACGACTGTATGTATACCTACCTGCATTTTGTATCCGATTGAAAGAGAGTAAATATTAATAATTACCGATTATTTCAAACGTGTCGCTTTGTTGTTGAACGAAAGTATTAATAACTTTTGCTAAAGATAAGGGATTAATACATCACTTCTACATTCAACGAAGTTAATAAATGAGAATAAAAAAGACAAAATCAACTGCGAATGCGTACAAAGAAATTGATAATAATTTGGTAGAAATTTTTTTAGTATGAGAAAAGCAAGAACGAATAAAATCAAATGTTTATTAAAAATCAATTTTAACTACAATTTGCTATTCGACAAGTTAGTCTCTGGTGATCCCATGAGAAAGAACGAACATTTTCAATTATAAACAACCAAATACGCGAAAGTGAGACAAACTCATTAGAGTATTCGGTACTTATATACTTTTCTACGTTCGTAATACTTAAATCTTCAGTACATCATCTCATTTCATAGCAAAAGTAC